GAGAGGCTTGATGATATTTTAGAAACAAATACCGTTATGATGGCATTCTTTGATCAGGATAGGCTTGATATCGTAAGTATCTCCTAAAGTGACTGTTTTTGATTAGCTATCTTAATTAATGGATGGTCACAATTTGGTGAATGAAACATATGATTTGTATCAGTAAATTGATTCTTTTCGCATAAATGCTTAAGTAAAAATAAGAAGAAATACGCTTAGGTCATTATTTAATTCAAACTGTGCAATAATTAAAACAACCTGGTTATCGAGGGATTTCACTGTAAGATAAATAGATGATTTATTTCCCAACCAATCCAATCGTCTTTGTTAAAAATAAGTAATTTAGCTAATATATAATATATGACATCATCTTGTATCGTTTTCCACTTTTCAGCAATATTTGTTAAGAAAACATAATTTAATGTGGAAAAAACACATTGATCAAAGTTTTGAAGTAATTATTCGTGGAATTTCCCATCGACTGATATTGTTCAATCCATCGAAAAGCGAAGATTATATCGAATTCGTCTTGCGAGAAGTTAAAAGAATTATACCAAAGTAAAATTGTTAATGAATTTGATGNAGTTTTGAAGTAATTATTCGTGGAATTTCCCATCGACTGATATTGTTCAATCCATCGAAAAGCGAAGATTATATCGAATTCGTCTTGCGAGAAGTTAAAAGAATTATACCAAAGTAAAATTGTTAATGAATTTGATGAGCATTTTCTATTCGTTTGAAAACAACTGTTGCTCCCATAACTATTCGTTGATTTCGAAGTTCTTCTGAAAGTTTGATGTCACAAAGTCTTTGGTAAAAAAAATCCATAATTATAACATTATAACATTTGCTAACATTGCTTTTTTTGGAATTTATCTACCTTGCCGGTGGTTTTCAGGAAGCTCTCCGAAATTATTCCCGATTAGTATGCTGTATAAATATGTAGTAGTATCAAGTTGTCAATAATATGACCATTAAATATTCCAATGTGAATTTAAATTTCAGATTTACTATTATGAATTACGAGATGCAGAGTGAGACTTTAGCAGGTCCAGCAAATTGGACAACATTTGTATGGACTTTACGGCGCAGCAGATTTATCAGCTGTAGGAAAGATTCCGCAGTTCGATTTCGCAAAACCTATCCTCATATCTTCAAAGGAAAACCTAAAATTGGAAATGAAATTATACTGACCCTTCAGCAATTCCGCAATTGGGCTATTCAGCTTAGTATGACACCGATGCTCTGTGCGGGCACCCTGCTTGGTATTACTGTTTCTATCACGAATTAAAAGGCACTTTCGCAATTAGTGATGTTTAAAATTTGGTTATTAATGCGTAATTTATGCTTTTTTTGGAAGTCAGATGTGTAGCAGTATTGAAATTGCTTTTTTATCTTTGGATTTCTTATAAATTATTACGACATGACAATCAATAGATCTTACAAAGAAAGTAAAAAAAGCGGTTCGTTGATAAAACGATTATAATAAGGAAATTCTAAAGTTCAGTATAATATCTTTATTATTCAAGGAAAAATTATTTATCTACTTGCTGCGTCAACTTCTTTTATCAGTTCTATTTCCATTTCGAAAGTTGCCATCAGTAGCAATTCTTTAGAAATTTTAAATAACTTCATTTAAATTATTAGTGCCATTACGATTTATGTGATTTTTCATTACAGTTTAGTTTCGTATAAAGAGCTTTTATAACTTAAACAGAGCAACGCTGGCAACAACATTGAACATATAATGTTTCCTCCTCTCATCTTTTATTTTGTTTTGCATATTGTTACTAATCTTTTTAGCTTTTTGTTAATTTTATGATTAACATCTGGGATGTTCGGAATTCTATTTATGACAATTAGTACTTCGATTTTATTAAATGTCCAAAAAGAAGGATGGAAAGCCACAGTAGAACTAAAGCATTGAAGAATAAAACTCCTGTAAATTAAACTTGCTGTCTAATAAAGCACTGTGCTGCATTTACTAATTTTTCTTATGCATATTTTCACATGGCTCTTAATTTGTTATTTAGCGGTAAATGTCTACTAATGTTGATATTTCTTAGATTGTTTAGGAAGCAGAAGCTTTGTGCAGGAAATTTCTTCAGAGATTTCATTTGTAGTTCTAAAGTCTCCTCAGTTTCCCCTTTTGACGATCTGTCTTAGGGCTATGAGATTTTAATTTAACGATTAATTCAAAGGAGACCAGCAGTTAAGAATTCGAGCAACGAATCATACTTAAGAAGTTATAAGAGAACTTTCATAGCAATATTATAATTTTAATTGGTATGAAATTTAGGTTGGTACCGACAATGTGGTATCATACCATATACACATGATATCGACTTTGCGATCTTCATCGAGGAACATTATAACGAATTTCCAGAAGATGTTATGAGTAGTTCGTTTATGAAGCTTAGTCTGCGATTTAATAAAGTCAGTTAATAAAATCTGATAAATTAATTAATTAATAAGGAATGTGAAATGATCTGATGATATACATAATAACAAATAAGGTTTACAATGTGTATTGAGCCATTTTATTTCACTTCTAATTCTGAATTTGTTGTAGCCAGAAGATTTATTGGAATACAAAGTGTATATAGACAATAGTATTCCAATGGATATCTTCTTTCTATATCATAATCAAAACAGTTCTTGGGTTGGAGGTTTATCTTATACAACCAAGTACAGGTAAGTATTTACTAACTTTTTTGTAACCTAACTAGCCTCATAATTTGTCATTAGAAGTCTTACACAAATTAACATTTGGTATGATTTAAGGTTTATTTATCCACAGATTAATCGGACTTGCTCAACTGATCTCCTTGGTTACTTAATGTATGTACCATGCAATGCATTAGATGTTCTTGTGGTAAATTTTAACAATTTTTTTCAAGTTTATATATAATCTTCTATAAAATTGTTTCATATTAGGAATCAAAATATGGAGCCATATAAATGTTGTCCTACTAAACGAGCAAAACAACTTAAAGTACAGTTGCAAAAATTTTTTCAGAGTGAATATGGTTTGAATTGGTCTGTACCACTTCACTCCTCTAACTATTCTTGGAACAGTTCACCACTAAACAAAAAAGAAGCCGGTAAAGTTCCTCCTGAAGAGATAGTTGAATCCTTCATAAATTATGCAAGGTAACCAACAGCATTTCATATGATGAGTATTTAATTTTCAATGATGTTAAACAGCCCTTAGTTTAGTAAAGGAAGCGATCATTCCTTCTTGAGTTACAATGTAGCTATGAATACCAAATTTTCCCGTTTTCACTAAATATTTTGCAGTTTGAAAAAGACAAAGATCAGCAGAAAAATCTCTAATTCTCCGGTAAAACGTATAATATCACAAAATGCCGAACATTCAAAAACGCTGAATATATCAGAGCATTTAATGAACACCACACAAAGCGTCAATGGTTGATAACGTTTCTTCGGAGAGTGGGATTTTCTGCGCCTAGTGCTCATTTGTCTTTATTTTGTTGTCATTCAGCGATAATACTTTCTGTTAATTGCATTTACAAACAGTTGATGCTTGCACCGCTTAAAAAGCTTCTAAAAAATTGTTAAAACTATTAAGAGATGAAATTGCACATTTTGTTTTAAAAAAATAAGAACTGTTTTAAAAAAAATAAGGCAAACAATGTTAAAGTAATTAAAAATAAATAACGGAATCTTCCCATTATTTGTACTTTTTTCTATGATTTTCTGGTATTTTCCGTCAAGCTTTCTTTAAAAAGTATGTTTGTTTCAACTTACGAGCTTTTCTCATTATACGAAACAAGGAATGAGAGATAACTGGAACGAACTTAGATACTATACACCAAGCATCGTTTGGATTTTAATGAATTTCATCACATTCATTTATAAACACAACCATAGCATATAAGTCAGCCTGAATTTGCCACCTCCACATAACAATTTGGAATCTCCTGCAAATTAATGGAGCAATAAATGCGGTGCGATCGGAGTGATGCGATCAATCATGTTTGATCATTTGAAAATTTAAGTACCCTTTATTGTTCAATCATTTGAATATTTGATGTGTCTGTTCAGGAATGACTATGTCTACGACCATACCATGTTGAAAGCACGACATCTCGTCCGATCTGTCAAGTTAAGCAACGTTGGGCCTGGTTAGTACTTGGATCGGAGACGGCCTGGGAATCCCAGGTGTTGTAGACATCACCTTTTTCGTTTTTCAGGAAAACTATTGCAGTAATCAGATCTTCTTTTCTTGTTCATTCAGGCTTATTATATAAGTGAATTTGGTAGAGAAAATGTTGCAATTTGTTATCGCTCATTTGTTTTTGCTTTGTTAATTTTTTAATGTTATTAATTTAAATATTACACAACAAGCATTGTTTGGATGTTAATGAATTTCATCACATCCATTTATAAGCATAGCCATAACATATAAGTCAGCCTGAATTTGCCAGCTTCAGAGAACATTTTGGAATCCCCTGCAAATTAATGGAACGATAAATGCGATGCATCAATCATGTTTGATCATTTGGAATTTTCAAGCACCCTTTCTTGTTCGATCATTTGAAAATTTGATGTGTCTGTTCAAGCATGATTATGTCTACGACCATACCATGTTGAAAGCACGACATCTCGTCCGATCTGTCAAGTTAAGCAACATTGGGCCTGGTTAGTACTTGGATCGGAGACGGCCTGGGAATCCCAGGTGTTGTAGACATCGCTTTTTTCGTTCTTCAAGAAAGCTAACTGTTGCGATAATAATCAGACGATTGTTGACAATCATACCAGAATAACCGAGATGAACAAATCATGTCGTAACAATCAAGTTTATCCTCTCAAATAATTCATTCATAATTCAGGCTATTTTTACTATTTTTGATTTTCGATTTTCATATTGTTTGAAACTAATGTAATACACCTCATACTACGGTAATACTAAGTTAATACATGTTATACTAAGGTAATACTAAAGTAATACACTTCATACTAAGGTAATATTCATACTAGGGTAATATTGCACCTCTAACATAATCGCAGAAGAAATGCTCAATTTACATAGAAGTAGCTAACAGAAATAGATTGAATTTATTGATACAGGTAATACGATTGCAGAAGTAGCTTGAATTTATTGATATAGATGATTCATTTAATAAAGGCTGATAAATTCTGTGCATTCAATGATATTTCATTTTTCCTAAATTGAATTCTTTGTTTTTTTCCATCATTATCTATTCTTTCCTTTCACTCGTTTCATTAATTTCCTTTAATTAATATTTGATCACTTGCTGTCTTTTTTTTTAAAATTTTCTTTTACACTTCTTTCTTCTATTCTCTTACATTAATTATGATAATAGTAATAGTTGTTAATCGAAAACAGAAAAGTTACTAATTTATTTGATAAGATGAAAACTTTAAATACAAACTAGAAGATGAGATCAATAAAACTTCATTTCAAAATACAATGACTGAAAAAAAAAAGTTGAGATAGTTGAAATTGAAGACAATTCAGGTATGTATTCTTCAGTTTTTCCACCTCTTTTTTTCTCTTCATCTTTTCTATCAAAATTGAGAAATTGAACTTATCGATCAATCCAATTCTATTTCATTATGTATGAAAAAAGAATTGCGAAATAATGATCTGGAAATCGAGAAGTAATCATCTGATGAAGATCGTGAAATAATCATCTGATGATGATCGAGAAATATTTATGTGAAGATCGAAATAGATACGCTGAGAAATGTATTCAAGAAGATTTAAATAGAAGGTAAGAAAGGATATAAAGAAATAAACATACATTGAATTGATCATCAATGAAAGCTACAAAACTGTTTTTGTTTTGCTCTAATTCGTATTTCACGAATAATATTCGAGTAAATAAAGTAAGCAATTATCAACCATGTAATGATAGTGTGTATGAAAAACCGGAAACGAAATTGGAATGGTAGAACGAATAAGATATATCATCATTTTGCTTTCATTCAACGATTACAACTTGATGATATAAAATATTTTGCTTGCAAATGATTACAGTTGTTAAATGAAACTAACAAGATAAATTGAGAATTAATCAAGAAATGTTTGATAAACCGGAAACGGAACTGGAAAGGCATAATAAATAAGGAAAAGAAATGAAAAACGAGAAATTTAGGCTAATCGATAAACTAACTAACCTATTAACATTTCAAACAGGAATAAATGATATACGAATAATTCCAATACAAGAAAAAATATATTTCCTTTTTTGATGGAAAGAAAGAAATCATTCATCTAAATGATGAAAATACTTAAAAGTTGATCGATAAACAATGATAGCGTATATCATCATTATAATGGACCTGAAATACATTTAAATGCAAAACTTCTTCTACCTGTAACAAAATGCTTTTAATCATTGATATTATTTGATATAAATTCGATAACATAATCATTTATCATCGATGAAACAAATTTACTCCATACGTAATTTTATGTTATCAACTAGTTTCCACTTAATAAACTCTATATTCTTCATTCATGTGTTATCAATTAAAATTATCTTTGTATCTTAATGTGTTATCAATTAAAATTATCGTTGCAGCAATTGTAATTGGATTATTATTTCTTATTCTATTTAATATTAATTTTTAAAAAATTAAAATTAATACAACTGTATCTTCCGTAGTAGCAATTGTAATAGAATTATTATTTCTTATTCAATTTGCTATTAATTTTTGATTAATTAAAATTAATAAAAACAAAACGAAAAATTTACATATTGTAGCAGTTGTTGGTTGTGATGAAAGCGAATTTGTCTCTTTATGATCATATTGTTCATTAAAATTCCAAAATTGTGCAAATGTTGCTAATGGTAATGTATTTGTTGATCCGGTGGGAATAATCTTAAAACGGAAAATGCAAAGGAAAAAATTTTTCAATTGAAAATTAAAAATAACATGTAGTTTAGAATTACTCCTATTATTACTTTGTTATTACTTTATAATTTCAATTGTTTTAATTCTACTATTATTTCTAATTATATTTCTTTCATTTATTCCTCTTCCAATTTATTTTCAAAATTCGATTAATATTTCTTTTTAACGTAAAATTCTAGTTTAATATATTAGTTGAATTATTATTATTGGTTAAAAATATATATTAGATATATTAGTTAAAGTAATATAGTTTAATTATTGTTTCCAATTATATTTCCTTTATACTATAAAATATAATGATAAAAACAATTGGCATAAATTTCTCTCATTTAAAAATTATTCCTAATTAACCACAATCGATCAAAAGCAATAATGAATTAACTGTCTTATTATCAATTGATATAAAGGTAAAATACCGGAGAAGTGAGGGTAGTATCATTTGTGATAGTAGTAGATTTTGATGATTGAAAATTGGATGTTGTTGATGGCATGAAGAATTCACTCAATATTTCACCACCATCAGCTACATCATCAAAACATAGCTCACTGGGTCGTACATAAATTGGTATTGGTTCATTTTTTGCAATCCCTTCCGTATTATTATCATTGATATTTAATTGTTGGTTTGATTCCGCAATCTATAATCATTTGAGTTACTTAATAAAACTTATGAAAGAAAAGGAAAACTTGATATGATTTGGTAATTCTATTATCAATGATAATACAGTGTATATAATTTACATTCATTCATTGCATTGTTTTAAATTTTCTTTCGGATTTTTTAATTGATAAAAATTATTAAAATTATTTTTCTTTTCTATATTACTATATTACAGTAATAGAATATGAAAAGGTAAAAACTGATGGTTAATTTAATGATGATAAATATGTATATAGTATATATATATCTCCTTTATCAATTTGCTTAAAATTTTCTGGACAATTATCGTACTATTTTAAATAAGAAATATTACAGTATACCGTATTTACAGTAATATTCGTTGCTGTACCATAATTGTAACTTGTTGATGGTTCATCATATATTATACTTGGTAATGAAGATGTTGATGATACTGTTGTATTATTGGCCCTTGGAATTGTGATAGAATCATGTGAGCTACTAATATTATCATTGGAACAGTTCTAAAATATCAAGAACAATAAATAAAACATAGAACAAAAAACTTCGTTACTCAAATTTGCAAATAATTTAAATTAAAATTTAGAAATTTATTAATTATTAATTTCTCATCTTTGCTAATTATTATCAAAATTTTGAAGAATTATTTCCGATTGTTTTAATTAATAAATTTCTAAAACACAAAATATGAATTGAATAAATTTATCTGTAAGAGATAACTTACATTATCAAATTTATAATTTATTTTTTTATCAGTTTTCAAAAGCTTATCATTTAATTGGCTACCGAATGATAATTTATCATTTGAATGTGAATAATGTTATACCTAAATAGGAAGTTTTAAACCATCAAATTAAAAGGTATTTGAAATTGAGAAACATTTACTTTAGCTGTGCTGTGATTGGCATACAAAAAACAGATTACCAATTTTCATGAATATTTAAATTCATCAAATCAACTTGATCTTTCTTATACCTATGAAAACTTTCACTCACAACTACAATTTAATTTAGATTATTGATTTCTCTCTTCGTTATATTAGAATTGCCTTAGATTCCTGAATTGAATTGTTATTATCAGAATTTTCCTAAAATTTTGGAAACAAAGAAAAACATGTAATTCATAAAAGATTCATACCGAAAATGATTCATAAACAGTGGTACCATGTTGCTCAGTTATCGCATGCTTCCTTTGATCAACTGCTTGTCGTGCTATTAAATATTTTTAAATTTTGAAAATTTCATAAATTAATTTTCTATAAAATCAAGCATTTGAAAATGAAGCTTTTAGGAATGAAGGTTAAATCTCAATCAATATTTCTAAATAAATGATTTGTAGATTTTTATCACTACCTGTGCCATCCACCATTTTTACGCTAAATGATGGTGAATGACGTGAAATGTTAATCCAACGTAAAGGCTGTACTGGTGTTACGCTTGGTGATAATGCCGATGTTGACGAAGGCATTCTGCAATCGTAAAATTGAGCATAGTAATTTTATAAATGAAAAAATCTGATAAATCATAGTGACAGGATAAATATCAGTGTAAATGAATAAATGATTAACGCTTAATGATAATGAAGCGATTTAAATCACTAAGCCCGGTAAATCAAATAACCTGAAATGGAATTTACTTCCAGTCTAAAGATTTGAAAAAATTTTTCACGTGAACAAAATGAAATTGTGATCAGTTTTTGCGTACGTTTCATAACTTTTTAAAAATTTTAATTCCTTTTGTTTTCTAATTTAAATTATAATTAAAATTAAAATTCATTAAATATAATATAATAATTAGAATAAAACTAATTTCTGTCCAGTAAATGAATGCATTGTTTAGAAAAGTTTTCTCAAAATTACATCAATCGAGAATCTAATTACGAAATATTAATTTATAATAAACTTTTACTTACTTCATCAGAATACATGAATCAATGCTGCTTGTTTCAGATTTTAATTCGGTATCAAGTGATGAACGTGAATCACCACCAAGTGTTAATGATATCAAATCAGTAGCTGTTGATCGTCTCATCGAATCATAACCTTCATCATCTATTCCATCTGTTTCCATTGTTCCGCTACTACATTCCAATGCTCTATTGACGGATTCTATATGAAATATTGTAATTTTAAAATCAAAACGGTCATCATCGTTTTTTAAAAGAAAGAAATCAATTAAAACTTTAATTCCTTTTTTTCAAATTTTAATTTATTTCATAAAAATTTAAATTTATTAAATACAATACAATATCATCATTTTATATTCCGTTCATTTCTTCCGATCACAATATCATTATAATCAATATCACAATATCAATATCATTATATTCGTCATCTTCCGATAAATATTCCATCAAACAATACGATAAATATTATTTCGCAAATTGATTTAATTAAGACAAAAAGAAAGAAAGAAAAAGTATCTATCCGTTTACCTTCCTTTTTTGGAATTTCTTTGAACTGTGCAGATAATGCATGAATTTCACTAATTATACGATGTAATCGTAGTGAAAGTCCTCCATCGGTATGTGTTAATATATCCAATGATTGTTTAGCATTTCTCAATGCATACCACGCTTCCTTCTCGCGGATAATACTACTCGTAGCAGAATTGGTTAACAATGTCGAATTATTTGAAAAAGCTGCAAATAATTAGTCTTTCTTTTAATTCAAAGTTATCTCGAAATTTTATCAAGAAATTAATCATCAATTATCATCTATTATCTCTCAAATGTATAAATATTATTACTTCATCTAAAATTTTAATTTATCCTTTCTTTTGGCAAAATGATGGAATCTTATCTGTGATGATATGATAATCACAATACAGATCTGACGGTATAAAATGTTGAAAATTTTATTCAATTTAGGGAAGACGGCAAATTGCTGATCGAAGAAAAAAAAACACATCTCGATTAGCTATTAATTAATTTAACGAAATATTTTTAACCGCTAATATTATCAACCTTCCATATCAGTGTTCAGCGCTATACTATGTAATCAAAATTCACCAATTAATTCCAATTAAATAATTAATTAGTTAGTTACAGTTTGAAATTAATTAATTCCAAACTATTTCAGCCATTTAATTGCTAATGATGATAATTGCGACAATTATTAAGATAATAATTGTAATAATCATTATCAACTATTCCAAGTAAATTAAACACATAAACATACCATCGAAATCATTTCTAAAAGTTGTGGAAAATCCTTGTAAGGCATCCATTTCTTGCCGATTAAAATGATCAGGAAAAGCTTCCTGTAACAGATAAAATAATAAGACATTTAAAAAAGACATTCTCCGAATATACTCTTATTTCAGGAAATTATAATCACCTTAAGTTGTCTGGTTGCATTTGTTGTTGGTGCTACACTCATGAATCTTCCATCACCAAAACCTTGACGTAATAACATATTACACTCACGTGCTAACGTACGTGGTGATCGGAATGTTTGACATTTCTTTTTCATACAACGATATGCTGGATACTCCTGAAAAAGAAAAAATGTAAAAAATTAAATCTCAAGATAAAATTAAATTTGAAAATTAAATCTTTGTAATCTCTATAATATATGATGATATTCGAAGATAATAATAATTTATTAACTTTTAACACATTTTTACTATTTCTCTAATTTACTGCATATTAATCGATTTACAAAAACAACGATTATAAATATAAAATACATAATTAATATTTGTAAACTCTTTTGTTTTATATAATTGCTACATAAAATGAAATTTTAAATTTGTTTACAATTTTAGAATTTAAATCAAATTTTTAAAATTATTTTCCTAACGTTTAATTTACATTTAAAAAATGCACTATGCATTGTTACCTTTACAGTATTTAGGTATTTTACGCGACGCATGAAAAATTTCATCGATGAACCACAACGATGGCATGGTATGCATTTTTTGGTACACATTAATTGCAAATCATCAGCAGGATCCATACGACGTAATATATTTTCTTCCGATTGTCCTCAATAATAAATTCATTGAAATCGCAATATGATATTATTTGAATTTCTTATTTATAAAATTTGTTTTGATTTGCGAAATTTTTTGATCTTTTATTTATTATGAAAATGTATCTTTCTATTTTTGTTACTAACAATGCGATTCGCAAAACTTCCAAGTAGCGATTCGTAAAACTATTAAGTTGCGATTCGCAGAACTACTAAGAAATCAACAAATCATATGATTTCGTAACTTTTTTTAAACCATCAAATTAAGTAAGTCTAAAGAATATATAATACCTGAAATGTTGTTTTATATACTTCGTAAAAAATTCATATAATTTCATAACTTTTTTTAAACATCAAATTAAGTAAAGTTTAAAGAATATAATACATGAAATGATGTTTTTGTATTGTATGAAATAATCTGATATACTGTAAAAATAATTCTACCGTCATTTCTCTCAATATATATGCACAATATTACGATAATCTATTTTAAGTTTAAATGCACCTTAAAATACTTAATAATAATTTTAATTAAAATTAACTTAGTTAAAATATTTTTTAATTTTAATTAATTATTTTTAATTAGCATAATTAAACTTAATTTTAATTGACTTTATTAAAATACTTAATAATAGTTTTAACTTTCATAAATAGCTATTTTGATAGACAATATTTAAATGTATAATAGAGTAAATCAAATTGTATACTGTCAATTCCTGAATTAGCCTCCTTTATATGATATTAAAAGATATCAGATATTAAATGTCGTAAGATTACGGTACAATAATTTCATATATCGCAAATTTTAACCATTAATTATTATCGACTATTTATGCTAACTCATTTACACGTACATTACTTCATATACGAGCACGTGAAGCATGTAAACTATAAAATTTTGCGATCATATAGATTGCTGAATTTCGTTCCACCAGATTATTGAAAATAATCTAATAAAGATTTAATTATTTTATCATGCAATTATTATAATTATTAATATATCATATCTATCAACATTAATAACTAGCCTAATGATGGTGTATATATAGCGTAAGTTTGATGACATAGCAATTTTCTAAATATCATGAATTGAAAATTATGAAGAAATTAATTAAATATACCTTTAAATGATAATAATTGAGTTGTTGATGATAATGATGATGATGATGATGATGAGATAGGATTGATTGAGGCAGTTGTATTATTATTATTATTATTAATAAGAGTAGATGAAACAACATCCATTTCTTCTTTTTTAGGAAACGTTTTGTTGGAATTTCTTTGTAAACAATGAGAACCACTAATTTCTTCCTAAAATGAAATTGAAATTATTTGTTTACATTTAAAATAATGCATTCAGATATATATTTCCTTTTTTTCTCCTGAAAAACTTCAAGCCCAAAAATTAGGTTAAAATAATATAAATGGAATTATTGTGATTACTGGATAAATTAATGAATTAATTTAGCTATTGCTAAATAAGTAATTAATGTATAGAATAGCCTGAAATTACATATAAATATATATATCTTACACATAATTTTCTAAATTAAAATTAAAACTATAGTAATTTTTATTTTTTCCATCCATACAATTAGCTGCTAAATAAGTAATTGATAAATCGATAACCTGAAATTAATTATAAATGTTCATCTTACACATAATTTTTTTAAATTAAAATTTAAACTCTAATAATTTTATTTTTATCATCCATACAATTAGCCTGCTTTTCATTTATAGCAAATAAGATTGATGTGAAAATTCTTTTTCTTACCATAATTTCCTGTTTGATAACCTGTATTACACCTTGTCTTCCCATTATCCTACTGTAACCATTCCAACAGTAGCCATCGTTTTATTTTCACGCTTTATTTTTGTCGTGAAAAATTCAACGAATTTGTGTACCAAAATATCAAGCACTTTTAATTAATTGCAATCAAAAAATTTACGTACGAAAATAGCATTGCAAAAAAATAAAATGGATCGTCTGGAAAGTTTTATAAAATTATAATTGTTAGATTATAATATGCAAAAATTGATTGATACAATGATAAGATGAAAAATGATAAATTTATTTCGAAACAATTTCAACACCTTCGTCAGCATTTATATAACTATGAATGTATAAAAAATAGTGAATAGGCATTTCATAATTAAATTAAATATAATTCAAATAGATAAGCACTTCATATCATTTCCATTTTAATTCCCACATCACAACAATATCATCCAATAATGTATCGTAAAAATACAACTAAAAATGATAATAGAATAGAGATTAACCTGAAAGAAATAAACCATCATTAGATTTTATGCAAATTATTCTCATCTTCCTCATTTTCTCTAATCGAATTTTTTGTCTAATCTAATAAGCTTACAGTAATTTATCAATAAATCAAGCAACGGATATTATCATTTATCAATAAATCTTTTTTTCAATATAAGATTATTCGAAAAAAAAAAATCTGTCAAAAATTATTTGAACTTTTTTTAACGAATTTTTTCTTTTGCAAAATATTTAAGAATTTTAGGATAAAATTAGGAAATGGATTTTCAGGAGGAAATAAGCTAACAATAAATACGAATAAATGAATTAACAGATCAATATTATATATGTCATCATATTTAGGCACAAAATAACAAAAGAAAAACAATCGATGTCTATAGTTGGGAATCATCTTCGACACCTCTTAACGCATCGATAAACTTGCTCAACTGGATAAGAGAATGATTCCTTTTACCATCTTATCTATAACCAATGTCTAAATGTTATTTATTACCAATACCTATACCTATACCAATACTACATCTACGCCTTATACCTATAAGGAGAATGATGAATAATGAGAGATATATAGGATAGACAATAAAATGAGTGAAAAAGTTGCTATCATTGATATATATATATATATATGACAAAAAAGAAGTTGTACAATAAAGACTTGCTACTTATTTTCACTTAAGTAACACGTAAGTAATAAGTAATATGTAAATTATAGTAATAAAAATTATAGTAATAATGTAAATTATAATTATAGTAATATTATAGTAATAGTAATAAATTATAGTAATATTTTATATATATAAAAACTTAAGCAAAGAAAAAATGTGTTACATATTCTCACGTAAGTGATACGTTACGTTAGAGTAATACGTAAAATAACAATAATACTTTTTTTTAGTTTTTCAAAAATTTAAACTTCTATATTTTATTTGGGCAAAATTTACTCTTTACGAAATAATATTCAAATTTATCATTTTATTTAAATTATAATTAATTAATTTCTATTGTCTTTTTTTTTGAATTTATTAAGGAAGAAAAAATGTTAGGAATGAATGTAATGAAGAAAAATTTGATAAAGCAATTATTTTTCCACCTACGATACGGTATGATACAGTTTACGAACTATTTGTTGTTATTATTGGTTTTTTTGTTTCTATAAATTTTTACTCATATATGATGATATAAGAGATTCTATGATAAAAGAAAGTAATAATTAATATTTACTTCATTTTTACTCCTATCATAATTGTTGCACGACCGGTTGTTAAACGAACTAATGAGCCGGCAAAATACAGTAAGTTTTGTTAATTAAAAATTAATTTCGAAATTTTTAAATTTCAATTTATTCTATTCAATTTTCTGAGAACAATTACAGAAATATATTCCCATGTACGTGCAAATCAAATAAGCATTAATTAGTCAAACGTGTAATTAATGCTATGTAAATTAGTTTAAATAAGCATTAATTAATTAAATGTGCAATTAATGTTAGTTTGAAATTTAATTTATAAAATTTAAGTTGACAATAATGTGTGAAATATGATTCGATAATATGAACAGAATTTATTAAGATTTTCTAAATTTGATAGTTTTTAAAAAAAATTAAAAATTTTTAAAACATTTTCTTTTTTCGATACTAATCACATCGATGGAAATTTAATAAACTAAAATTTATTAATCTGAATTTTACTAAAAATTATAATTAAGTTTTAAGTTAGATTAATGAAGTAAGCAAAAAAATGTTTTGACTAATTAATTAAATTAAGTGAATAATTAATTTTATGTAAAAACAATTGAGGTATAAAATAAAAAGACAGGAGAATAGATGCATAAAATAAAAAATACAAATGTGAAAATTGAATACAGAAGAGAAATAAAGGAAACCTATAATTGAACATACTGAAATTGAAATTTGTACTCAAAAGAAAACCTATAATTGAACATACTGAAATTGAAATTTGCATTCAAAAAATGATTTAACCTTTTTTTTTTTAGTAAGACTGTCAAAAAAGGAATGAGAATTGCACGTAAGCAAATAATTTCAACTCATCTATTTCATGTTCATTTTGTCCTACAACAGTAATTATCCTTTCGCGGATACTTTCTGATAATGAAGTAAATTTTAGGATGAAGCGTCAGGAAAAAATTATGGTGCTTATCTAAATGCTAAAAAAATTAAGCATAGAGGTTATCAAAGAAAAAGTAATAGGGTAAGTTGATTAACTAAATTTTAGTATGATATTTGCTTAATTCCTTTCCCAAAGTACCGATGGCATTCCTGAAATGAAATATCGGTAGCCGTTGTTTCACTTTAAATACTGAAAATTTTTATGAAATTTGTAAAAGACGAAATAAAATGTTTCGGATTTTTCAACAGGATGATGAATCACTGCATCAGATTCGCGTACTACGTCCTAGCAGTAGTTTCAGGTACTGTATTGTTTTATTTAAAATACTTAATAAAATGAACCAAATTATTGTTAATTTTTAATATTTCTGATTACTCCTTTTCTTGCTTCTCTACTTATCCGGTCTAATACCGAATCCGGATATGCAATAGATGGAATGAACGTAGAATTTATCGAAATTGATTAATTATTTCATATGAAATTACACTACGAGTATTTTAAAAGTACTATTTTTTTTTTTAACTTTGGCGATTATAATTATATTTAACCTTTGGCGATCATAATAAACGTGTTTTGATTTAACTATTTAACCTTTGGCGATCATAATAAACATTTTTTGAAATCAATCAATTATTTTCCACAATGTTGTTTCTTTCGTATCAAACTAAAATTGGTACTTTTAAAAATTTTTGATATTTTGATAACATATTTTGGTTGGCACATTTTTATCATAATTTTCCCCGACAAATAATTATTAGCAATTGGAATTAATTACAGCGGACAACAGTTGATGAAAGTTAAGCATGAAAGAGCAAATTCTTTTCCGGATCGACGGCAGCTCTCACTAACTTTTGAACCATCCGTTTCTGAAACAGCTTTTTCCAACATTACTGTAATTTATTTCCCATTTTAACAGAAATATATTTCACACATATTTTTCATCTATTGAAAATGTTAGTTCCAAAAATTTATTTCTTCTATCTTAAATGAATAGTAATATTTTTCTTATATCAATTATTTATGTGAAAAAGCATTTTTAATTCAACCATAAAGGATTGTCAGATTTAAATAACTAATTATGATTGTATAAAGATTATTTTCGTTTCTCTCACTCTTTCATTTTAGTTTAAAATTGATAATCATAATAAATTATTTTACTTAGGAACGCGATGAAATGGAAAATATGGAGAGTCCACCTACAAGGTAAGTAAATAAAATCTTAGGATTTAAGATTTATTAAGGAAGATTTCTGTTGCTATTATTTATTATCACTATTATTATTGTTATTGCTATTATTATTTTTATTATTATTATTATTCGGAAATATTTCTATTTTTGTTTTTCCTGAAGACGTAATTCTAAAATTTCTTACACTGCCTTCTAATAGTTGACGTTGGGGATTTTATATAGCGACAACAGTAGGTAAGCACGTTGAGAGAATGGAGG